TATCTCTATGTATCTCTATCTATCTATCTATCTATCTATCTATCTATTTCTATGTATCTCTATGTATCTATATCTATCTATCTCTATGTCTGTCTGTCTGTCTGTCTGTCTATCTATCTATCTATCTATCTGTTTATTTATCTATCTAATCTATATCTTTCTGTCAATCATCTCATCCATCTATCATCTGTCTGTCTCTCTATCTTCACACCGTCAAACAGAATAACAGACTTGGAGATCATCTAGTCCAACCCTCCGTCCAAGCAGGAGACCCTACACTATTCCTGACAGATGGCCATTCAGTCTCTTCTTGAAAGCCTCCAGGGATGAAGCTCCCACAACTTCCGAGGGCAACATCTTTTCCATCTGTTGAATGTCCTCATTGTCAGAAAGTTTCTCCTTATTTCCAGGTTGAATCTCTCCTTGCTCAGTTTCCATCCGTTCTTCTTTGTCTGACCTTCGGGTGCTTTGGAGAATAGCTTGACCCCCTTCCCTCCTCTCCTAACCTCTCAAATTTCGTTCCTTTCCCCGCTTCCGCTACCCCGAGGCCAGGACCACCCTTACCGTATCCCTCGAAGCTTGGCTCTGTTGTCGTGCCGGTCAATCAGGTTGTGTAGGATCTCCAAGACCAGCTGCCGCAGTTCGGAGTCCTCCATCAGGGAGGTGGACAGCAGAGGGTCCAGGAAGGGCGCCGAGAGGACCGAGGCGATGCTCTTGGCGTTGTAGCCGGAGGTCACCTGCCGAGGAGGCCCGCAAAAAAAACAAGCAAGGTCCCCAATTCGTCCTGCATAGGCACGGCTGGCAGCTGCTTGCATGGGCCAAAGCAGGGGTCTCCAACCTTGGCCCCTTTAAAAAGACTTGTGGGCTTCAACTCCCAGAATTCCCCAGCCAGCAAAGCAGGGCATTGGAATAAAATGCAGTCAATTTGAGATAGATGTCAAATACAACGAAATTAAATTTCGGTGTCCCCCCTGCAATCTACCCCAATCAGTCCTACAAGTGCATTTGGCCCATCCGAAGGTTGCTAAAGGGGGATTCACCAGTGGTGGGATTCAACCTTTTTTACTACCCGTTCTGTGGGCGTGGCTTGGTGGGCGTGGCAGGGGAAGGATATACTGCCAAACCCCCCTTCCCTTCCCTCCCCACCCCACTAACCTGCTTTCCAGCTCCGTTCTCCTATGCAGGGCAACCAAAGGAGACCCAGCCGATCAGCTGGGACTCGATGGGAGGCGGAGAAGAGATGGGGGGTGGGCGGGGCCAGTCAGAGGCGGGATTGGCCGGTTCTCCGAACCACTCAACATTTCCACTACCGGTTCTCCAGAACTGGTCAGAACCAGATGAATGCCACCTCTGGGATTCAGGTGTCCCCCTGGGGCATTGCAACCGTCATGAGTCCATGCCAGTTGCCAAGCATCTGAATTTTGATCCTGTGACGGTGGGGACGCTGCCAAGGTTGCAAGGGTGAAAAACGGTGCCATTGTAACTTTGCACACTTAAGTGAGCAGTTATAAGTCAAGGAACTACCTGTACGACAAAGGGAGCCCTGAATGACAGGGCTTCATTCATGGGTAAAGGGCCTTTGTCACCCTTGCCTACCCTAGAAATCATCAGCTGCGCACTGCAAGGTCAGGGGATGCTGGGAGTTGTAGTCGGTGATCAGGAAATCAACGGGATGGTGATCTGCCATCCCTTTGATCCAGCAGAATTGGCACATCGAGTGTTGCCGGATCCTCTAAACAGGCTCTTCAAACCTGGCCCCTTTAAGAGGAGTGGACTTCAACTCCCAGAATCCCCCAGCCAGCTGAAGTCCACTTGTCTTAAAGGGGCCACGTGTGGAGATCCCTGATCTAACAGGACAGATGTCAGGTTTCCAATAGATGCCCTCATTAATTCATGAGCCTCGAGCCAAGTTTCAAAAGAAATCCGATGATTTATCACGTTCCCAAGCGCCGTCGGCTCTGCCCCACGTAATTTACTGCCTACCTATGACCCTGTTTCCCCGCTTCCTCCCAGGGTGTGTCATAAATCACATTCTCCAACAAAGCATTTTCCCAGGCTGTGGAAACGTCACCTCTCCCGGCTGGCTCTGGTAACCTGGGATGCAATCTGGAGAAAGGAATACGTGGAATGTGCTTTCTAGTCGTGGTAATTGAGCTGCTCCATCAGTTCTCCCCCCACCTTCTACCTATGGCAACTGGAGAGCAGGCCAGGAATGCCTGACGAGTTGACAACTGGAATCCTCGCTGTCAGGGATTAAGGGAGCGTCAACTCATAACAACATTTCTATGCCTGCTTTGGAGTTGCCGTGAGCAGAAGGGGGAGATTCGAAAGAGCAACGCAGCAGTTTGGCACCGAAAGGGCCCTCCATTCTTATCTTGCAAAGATTGCAACTTAAGCGCCTGGAAATTTCTGCCATGCAAATCTCTTAATTGGAGAACGTGATGGATGACTTTCGGCTACGAACGTGTTTCGTTGCATGAATTATGATACACCCGGAGGGGGGGGGGGAAACCAGGGTCGAGGGTGACAGTGAATGACGTGTCTCAGAATCGGCTTCATGCAGGTCATGCCGACATGTCCGCTCCTGATCAATCCTTGGAAGTTTTTGAAGCTTGGCTCGAGGATCATGATTTAATGAGGGCAACGGACGGAACCCTGACAGGGAGCTGGAAGCCCATCTGGAGAAGCTGCCCCCAAAATTCGGTATCTCACCCCATGCCTCCAATCCCAGAATCCCCTCTTACCATCAGCAACGACCGTAGCAGCATGATTTGAATCCTCCTTGTTCCCAAATCCCTGTGAGAGCAGAAAGAGCAAAGAAAAGATTATACCCTGGAAGGAAACGGGGGGGGGGGAAGTCCAAGGCTGCAGCTTGTTGTCAGGTTTCCAAGGGATGAAATCCTTTTAAAAAGAATAAAACAAAGTCCATCTTCCAAGACAGTTTATTTTATTTAAATACTTCTATTGGAGAAGGTGACTTTGTGGGGCGGGGGGGGTTGTTTCTAACTTTTAATATTGTGGGGTAGTTCCGGGTTGTGTCAGATCCGGAATTACCACCGACTTTGCCCATTGGATGTTTTCCTAAATAAAATAAATTGCCTTGGAAGATGGACTTTGTTTTCTTCTTTTTAAATGGATTTCATCCCTTGGGAACCTGACACTTGTCAGTCCAGGCCGGGGCCAACAGCATTCGTGGCTGGAAAACCCTCCAGGGGGACAAGAACGCCGTCAATCTGGGGACCCCGACCTCACCGGTCCCAATCCGCAGAAGCAAAATACACCCCGAAGGATCTTGCTTGCAAAAGCCGTCTGTTGACCTTTCAGAGCAGGGAGGGGAAGGGGCTGCAGGGAGGAGGGGGAGGACTCTGGGGCGCTAGGCAGTCTCTCAGGTTTGGCTGTTTTCTTGCAGACGTTTCATCACCCAACTAGGTAACATCATCAGCACTAGGAGGGAGGAGGGGTTGTGGAGTTGAGGAGGAGGAGGAGGACTCACTGAGCTTGGTGGTTTTCTTGCAGACGTTTCATGACCCAACTAGGTAACACCATCAGGGCTAGAAGGGAATGAGGTTTGCACCTTCTCCCACTGATGATGTTACCTTGTTGGGGCATGAAACGCCTGCAAGAAAATATCCAAGGTTAGAGAACACCAAGGACCCCACAACCGTCATTCTCCTCCTTTTCTTCCTCCTCTTCCCCCTCCTTTCTACAAATCTAGCACGGATGATGTTGCCTAGTTGGGTCATGAAACATCTGCAAGAAAACTACCACGCCCAGAGAGCACCAAGGACCCCCCCTGGTTTCAACCATGGCCTAAAAGATTTTCCTATATTAGTCCAGGCATCCTAACAATTCATACAAACAGCAGTGCTCTTAAGCAATTAGCAACGGAACTTACATTTCTATATCGCCCACACTGTGCTTTCCAACACTCTCTAAGCAGTTTATAAGTGTCAGCCTCTTGCCCCCAGCAATCTGGGTCCTCATTTTATGGACTTGGAAGGATGGAAGGCTGAGTCAACCTTGAGCCAGCCAGGATCAAACTCCTAGCAGTGGGCAAAGTTAGTCTCCAATACTGCACTCTAACCACTGCGCCACCACAGCCCTTCCTTCCTTCCTTCCCTTCCCTACTTCCTTCCTTTCCTTCTTTTCTTCCTTCCTTCCCTTTCCTTCCTTCCCTTCTTTCCGTGACTTCCTTTTCTTCCTTCTTCCCTTCTTTCCTTCCTTCCCTTCTTTTCTTCCTTCCTTCATTTCTTTCCTTTTCTTCCTTCTTTCCTTCCTTTCCTTCTTTCCTTTTCTTCCTCCTTCCCTTCTTTTCTTCCTTCCCTTTTCTTCCTTCCTTCTTTTCTTTTCTTCCTTCTTTCCTTCCTTTCCTTCTTTCCTTTTCTTCCTCCTTCCCTTCTTTCTTCCCTTCTTTCCTTCCTTCCCTTCTTTCCTTCCTTCCTTCATTTCTTTCCTTTTCTTCCTTCTTTCCTTCCTTTCCTTCTTTCCTTTTCTTCCTCCTTCCCTTCTTTCTTCCCTTCTTTCCTCCCTTCCCTTCTTTTCTTCCTTCCTTCATTTCTTTCCTTTTCTTCCTCCTTTCCTTCCTTTCCTTCTTTCCTTTTCTTCCTTCCTTCCCACTTAGCAATAGCCCTTAGATTTGTATAACACTTCACAGTGCTTTCCAGCCCTCTCCAAGCCATGTACAGAGTCAGCCTCTTGCCCACCCTCCAACCAATCTGGGTCCTCATTTTACCAACCCCGGAAGGATGGAAGGCTGAGTCAACCTTTGACGATTGAACCGCTGGCAGTGGGCAGAGTCAGCCTGCAATACTGCACTCTAACCATTACATCCCCCGCAAGGCTCCTCCTATTATTAATACCAGACTGCAGAAAGGAAACCAGGACAGAAGGACGACACGAACCCGAGCTCGCTGGTGTCCAAGGTCTGGGAGGTCACCCCAAAGACAGGGACTTTCCCCATGATAAACATCATGATCTCTGACCGCTGGTAATCTGGCAGGTTGCTTCCGAAGAAACCTGCAAGCAGAAATTTATCTTTACCGACCAAGAAATAGTATCGATCCATTTCGAGCCATTTAGCTCTCATCAGCTAGCCTTCCCCCTTCTCTGGGATTCGAACCAGGGCTGCTCGCACATTAGGCAGAGGGATATTTGTTGTTTGTTGTGAAAGCGGCTGCCTACGAAGGCTCCAGGACTGGGGCTGAAGGGCGAAAACGGGAGCAGGGTGCTCCTTCCCATAATTTGGGTAGGCCAGGTTGCCCCGATGGGAAAAAAAAACACCTACTAGCTACTCCAAAGACAGCATTTAAACTTATCTACCGCTTCCCAGTGCTTTCCATCCCTCTCTAAGCGGTTTTACAGAGTCAGCTGGCCCCCAACAATCGGGGTCCTCGTTTTACCCACCTTGGAAGGGTGGAAGGCTGAGTCGACCTGGACCCTGGTGAGAATCGAACTGCTGGCAGTGGGCAGAGTCAGCCTGCAATACTGCACTCTAACCACTGCGCTTCCACGATCCTTCCTTCCTTCCTTCTTTTCTTCCTTCCTTCCCTCCCTCCCATCTTCGTTCCTTCCTAAGCCATAGCCCTTAGACTTATATACCGCTTCACCGTGCTTTCCCTCCCTCTCTAAGCGGTTTACAGAGTCAGCCTCTTGCCCCCAACAATCTGTCTCCTCAATTTACCCCCCTCGGAAGGAGGGAAGGCTGAGTCGATCTTTAATGCAAGAATAGCAGCAAGGAATTTTTCCACATCTTATCAAATCATTGGACCACTTTTTAGAATGGCCACTTTAAGACGGGTGGACTACAACTCCCAGAATTCCCCAGGCCAGAAATATTTCAAGGTTTGGACACAAGGTTTGCAGAATCCTTGTTCCGGCCATAATATTCGTCAGTTTGACTGAATTAAACAGCAGTCATAGAGAGGAAAAACCAGAGGGGACCCTTATTATTATTATTATTGTTATTATTATTATTATTATTATTATTATTATTATTATTATTATTATTATTATTATTATTATTATTATTATTATTATTATTATTATTTATTATTATTATTATTATTATTATTATTATTATTATTATTATTATTATTATTAATCGCCCAGTCAGCCAGATGTTCAGACTGGGTTTGGCATTTTTGTCTGCCTCTCAAGTCCCCACCAAGGACCTGGGATAGGCAAATCTGGATGTTTGATGCTGTTACAGATATCGTCGCAGGATGGAAGCGGTTCCAAGTCAAGCTGCCTTCTGCAATTGACCAATGGCAAATGTGTCAATGCCAGTGATGGTGTTCAAGTGGGTGCTCCAGTTGTTTTGGGACTGCACCTAAGGCCATAGTTGTTCTATTTCTATTCGTAGGTCTTCCTATTTTGCTATCTTCTCCCGTTCTTTCTCTTCCCTTCTGCTCTCTCCAGCCATTGCCACATCCACTATCTAGTCTTTTTGTTTTTTTGTCTTTCTTATCGACAACGGTTCAGTCCGGGGTGTTGTGTGGCAGGTGCCTGTCTGCCTGGATGCTGAAGTCCCAGAGCAATTTAACGTCTTCATTTTCTATGACTTTTTCTATTATTATTATAATCATTATTATTGTTGTTGTTATTTTGCACCAAAGGGATGAAAAGGTATCAGAGTCTATTCATGAACTGGAACAGAGCTAAGTAACCACGTCGGCCAACGAGAGCTGAATTGGGAGCTGAAACTTTAAGAGAGAATCTGGGCCTGGTTTATCTCTGTTCTGTGCTCAGCTCTAAAGTGAAAGAGAAACTAACTGGCTTCCTTGCTGAAGACTAGAGTTAAGGTCTGAACCTGTAACATTTATTTATTTATTTATTTTTATTTGTCAATCGCTTACAAGATAATAGGTATAAGTAAAAACACAGTTATGAATACATGAAATGGGTACATATAAGAAAAATAAAAGAAGAATAAGAGAAACAATAGGACAGGGACGGCAGGCACGTTGGTGCGCTTATGCACGCCCCCTACAGACCTCTTAGGAAAGCGGGAAGGTCAATAGTAGACAATCTAAGGTTAAAGTTTTTGGGATTTGGGGAAGAAACCACAGAGTCAGGTAGAGTATTCCAGACATTGACCACTTCGTTGCTGAAGTTGTATTTCCTGCAATCAAGTCTGCTTCTGTTTGAGTTTGCTCCATGTTGGAGGAATCTACAACTGGTACCGTAAAATTTACTTCATGTGTTTATAAAGAAGTTCATGGAGCCTCAGCCATCTGTGTTTATTTTTTCTGGTGCTGAATTTACGCTGCCAAACTCTGAACAAAAGGGACCGTGTATTAAAAATAATAATAATAAAACACCAGGTGAGATTCCACCCTGGCACACTCACCGATGGTTTGAATGATGGCATTCTGGACGATCCGCTCGTCGTTGTCCTTAGAGGGGGCAGAGAGGGCAGCGTGGCTGTGATCTCCCCTCGTGTTGCCCAGTTCGAAATCCACACTCAGGCTCAGGTGCTTCAGGAGGGTGTTGAACACCTCCAGGACGGTGGGTCCTGCCCAATGAAAGCGTGGTTGAAAATATTTTCATTTTTATGTGTCCCCTGCTTTTATCGCTTTTAGAAATAACTCAAACCCGACACCATTGTCTTCTTTCCTATTTTCTCCGCGACAACAACCCTGCGAGACGGGTTGGGATGAAAGAGGGGGACTGGCCCAGAATCAACCAGCCGGATTTCATGTCGAAGGCGGCACTAGAACTCACCATCTCCCAGTCATTGGCCCAAATCACTCTCAGATTATGATCGCTTTAATGCCTAAGGTAGGACTAGAACTCCCTGTCTCCTAGGGATTGGTTCTAAGTCTAGTGCAGGGGTGTCCAACCTTGGTAACTTTAAGAGTTGTGGACTTCAATTCCCAGAATTCCTCAGCCAGCAAAGCTGGCTGAGGAATTCTGGGAGTTGAAGTCCACAACTCTTAAAGTTGCCAAGGTTGGACACCCCTGGTCTAGTGGTTAAGGCATCAGGCAAGAAAGCAGGTGGCCGTGAGTTCAAATCCTGCCTTAGGCCTGAAAGCCAACTGGGTGACTTGGAGTCAATCCCCAGGTGACTGGGAGTTCTAGTCCCGTCTTAGACATGGAAGCCAGCTGAGTGACTGTCCAGTCCCTCCCTCCCTCCCTCTCCCTCTCTCTCTCTCTCTCTCTCAGTCCAACCCACCTCACTTCTTCGTAGCCAGCTTCCATGGCTAAGGAGGGACGAGAACGCACGGCCCCCCACTTTTTAGCCTTGTGTTTTAACTCAAGCCAAACAGAGGTCAGAGCCCCAAACCCTACTCCCTTCTGTCACTGATAATGCTTCCTAGTTGGGTCATGAAACCTATAGAAAACCCCACATCAAACACAGAGAGCATCAAAGAAACCACATCCCTGTGGAGATTTTCCGTCATCCAGGTTATGATTGTCCCAAATATGTTTTTTTTTTTCAAGAGGCAACTGGACTTTTCTGGGTTTTCTTTGAAGATGTTTTGCTTCTCATCGCAGAAGCTTCTTCAGCTCTGACTGGATGGAGGGGAAGGGAAGGATTTATACTCCTTGCAGACGCAGCTGGTCATTTGCATCATTTTAGAGAGTCGTTGAGGCCACTTGGAGGTTTGTCTTTGCCCTCAGGGTCACCTGAGTGGTGCCTCCAAGTGGCCTCAACGGCTCTATAAAAAGGAGGCAAATGACCAGCTGCCTGCAAGGAGTATCAATTCTTCTATCCTCCCCCATCCGGTCAGAGCTGAAGAAGCTTCTGGGATGAGAAGCGAAACGTTTTCAAAGAAAAACCAAGAAAGTCCAGTTGCCTCTTGAAAAAAAAAACAACAACACCTTTGGGACAAAGAAGCCACAGTTCAACCCTCAACCACAAATATTCCCTTGGTGCCCTGCAATTTTCCTGACAAAGCCTTCTGACATTTTCCCAAGGCTAGGAGAGGAGGGATCGGCCCAAGGTTACCCAGTGAATTTTGGGCCAAAGCCTGGCTCTGAACCTCCAACCCAGGCTGGCCTTCTGGACAGGCCCAGTCAGTTCTCCAATTCCCAGAGGTGCCTTCTACAGCTGACTCACCCACATGGCCCTTTTGCCTATGGCAGAACCCGCACTCGAGTCTTCCCATCCCACATTTGGCAGCTTACTCACTAGACAAACCGGCTCTGTGAGCCCTGAGCATCAAATCAATCACCTCTTTAAGTCAAAACGTGACTCAATCCATCCCTGCCAAAAACTCCTTATTTATCAAACCTCTGTGTGTCCACTTGCGAGAAAGTTGACTTGCTGGGCTTGTTATGAACCCAAGACGGTTTTTCTAACTTTAATACAAAAAAGCTAGCTCTACCAAGGTAGAAAATACAGATAGTCCTCGACTTACTCGTTTAGTGACCGTGTGAAGTTACAACAGCACTGAGAAAAATAAGCTATGACCATTTTTCACACTTATCTCAGACTCAGCTTGCTGTCCAGATTCCAGCCATCACCCTAATTAAATCCTGAGCCTCGGGCCAAACTTCAAAAAACTTGAAAGATTTGATCAGGAGAGACATGCTGGCATGATCTGTATGAAGCCGAATCTGACATTTTATGTAATTTACGATCCCCTGTGACTCTGTTTCCCCCATCTCACACCTCTGGGTGTATCATAATTCATATTGTCCAACGAAACACATTCACGGGCTAGGTGTCATCAATCACATTCTCCAACAGAGGATTTTCCCGCCCAGAATACCCGGTTGCCTAAGTTACAATCTCTGTAAGAGAAGTTTGGAATGTTCATTTGCCGTCTGCTCCTTTAAGGGGTTTCTTTCGTATGGCAACTTGGAAGCCGGCATAGGAATGTTTTACAAGTTGACACATACCACCGTTACAGCATTCCCTGTGGTCACGTGATCAAAATTTAGAGGCGACTGACTCGTATTTGTCCCAGGGTCATGTTAGTAGTATGTGATCCCTTCCCATAAGCAAGGTCAACGGGGGAAACCAAATTCAGTTCACAACAACTGTAGCCAAACAGGTCATCAAAACTCAACCAATATCTTGCTTAGCAACCTACATTTTCCACCTCAATTGTGGTCATAAGTTTGAGGACAAATGTGTACAAGCTACCAAACGGACGCACAATTTGGGATGGTATGTGGAAGAGACAGGGCAAGGAAACGCTGCCTAGACTAGAGAATGGTCAGATAAAAGAGGATTTAGCTTAATAACGGATGGAGAAAGAGAAGCTGCTCAGGCTGCAAAACAGACGGCGGGAGATTGCCACTCTCAAACCTGCAAGATTCTGTTAACGTAACCTGAAGGGAATAGTAATAATGAATAAAGAAATGTAGTAGAATATATTATAGCGTTAAGTAGAGACTTACTCTGTACGCATTTGTTATCTTGCTGTTGTAAAAAAAGATTTCCTTAACCTTTCACTTGTTGTAAAACAATTATAAACACATGCCTGCAATCAGCTACATCCCTCTTCTATTAAGACACCTGATTCTCCCACCTGAATCCATCTGATACATTTCACCCCAGCATCACACACACACACACACACACACACACACACACACACACACACCCAGGGAAGGTAACCTACCTCTCTGGGAATGTAACTACCTCCATTCGGAGGAATCCACACCATTGAAGTATGCTGTTAATAGCCTCCTTAAGTGGTCAATTGTGATCAGTTAGGAGGACAATAGGAGGAGAGATAATGAAAGGTAAACATTGCCAAAGAGGGATCTGTCTTTTGCAGGAAATATGTAAATCTAAGTCAGAGAGTTTTACAATGCAGTTACTCAACTTCTAAGGATCTTACAGGTATAAGAAGGACAGAACATCTTTCTGTATTTTGTAGAACTTTCCTCCCGTGTCTCTTGTGATGTGCTAGGAACTTCTTATCCAGATCTTTGACTTTGATCAAGGAATAAAGTCTGCTTTCTTTTGATTTGCAAGCCTTCGTTTAAGTCTTTGTTTTGGTTCATTTTTGGCTTAAGCACACTGCCAGACCTTACATCTCTTTACAATAAAAGTGGGGTTAGTCCATTTGGGTTGTGTTTCCTGTCTGGTTTACCTGAGAAGGCTAACACAGCGACAGTTCTAGGTTTCCTTTTAAAAACAGATAAAAAGAAAATGAGGGCCATGAAAGAACATCTTCAAGAATCTTGTTGCCATCACCGTATACAATCTCTTGCAATTAGATAACCCCCAATTAAAATTGTCTATTCCAAGGCTCTTCAACCTTGGCAAGTTTAAAACTTATGGACTTCAATTCCCAGAATTCCCGAGCTAACATGACTGGAGGAGGAGGAATTCTGGGAGTTGAAGTCCACAAGTCTTAAAGCTGTCAGGTTAGAAGACCACTAGTCTATGGAGATTTTGGCTTTTCACACCCATTTGCACAACTCAGGTGACCCCCGAAGACCCCTGAGATAAACCTCCAAGTGGCCTCAACGACTCTTTAAAAAGGATGCAAATGACCAGACATCTGCAAGGAGTGTCAATTCTTCCCTTCCCCACCACCATCCAGTCAGAGCTGAAGAAGCTTCTTGAATGAGAGGAGAAACATCTTCAAAGGAAAAACCAGGAAGTCCATTTGCCTCTTGGGGGAAAAAAAAAAAGCACCTTTGGGACCCTATTAAAAATGTTCCGTGAAACAGTTAAGAGCAGAAGACAGGAGAAATAATTCATACTGCAGAACCAGTTCTAATGTATATATATAAAAGCAAAATACCACTCATCACAAAATCTCCAGAACAGTAAAGCCTACAAACTTGAAATTTGGCCCGTGTGTTCCTCTTGGCTCCTAGGGGCTCACTAAGAAAGGTGACCACCAGAGCATTTAGAGTACTTCCATCATCATCATCATCATCATTATTATTATTATTGTTATTAATAATAATAATAATAATTAGGATTATTAACACGCTCTGATGCTAAGGAGTTCTACTCCCCCTCCCCACCTGAGAAGAAATCTCTTCCAAATGCGAAACACAAGCGGAGGAGTTTCAGTTTCAGTTTCAGAGCAGCAAGCAGCTTTAGGACAGAGCAGTTGAGCTAAGCCACGCCCAGGCTCCTTGCTGTCTCCTTCTTGCTCACACAGCAAATACTCTTCCAGTTTCCAAACAGCCCTCCACACTCTCACACACTGACAGGATGCTAGCCAGGTGCATACCGATGGATGCTGGTAAGCAGAGGCAGAATTATTCTCCTCCCTTATTTTCCTTCCCAAAAACCTAAGCCCCACCACATAGTTTCGTAGCAAAGCACGGGGATCCAGCTAGTTTTGAAATAAAAGAAAGGACAAGGGGTGAAAAAAAAACAACAAGCTGGATTAGCAAGTATATTTTCTGCCTTACGTAGCAGGAACCACTGAACCACACTCCTCCTTTTTGCTCTGGGGAAAATCCTCACCATCTGGATCTTCTCTCTTGACTTCCTGGCACCGTTTGCCATCCTGGGCTGCCATTTTAGAGCCCGATTCTGTTTCCTACCGACATCCACGCTTCTTTCTCTCTGCTGCCAAGGTTTTTTTCTCTCTCTCTCTCTCTCTCAATCCGGGATCCTGCCAACTCCCGACTGCCAGACTAAGGTGAGCCAGCAGATCCTGGATCTCATCCCCAGCTCAATTATCCCTAATTAGCCCTTCCGTGCTGTGATTTTCCCTTGAACCATCCCTGACATTTGTGTCCCGACAGCCTCTAATAATAATATGGTCCCGTCACGTTCTTGCTTACTCCAGTAATTTCCTGTCTCACTTCCTTGACGTAGCAACTTTTAGCACCCATTAGCACTTATTCTACCCAGGGAGGAACAGCAGAGATAGAGCTCGGCTAATGACCAACAACTGAGCCCAAAATTTAGGTTGCTAAGTGAGACACATTGGTTGAGGGTTTTTGACCCACTTGATGATCTTTCCAAGCAACCTAGAACGAAGGAGGAATTTCCTGACTGTGAGAACAATGAATCGGTGGAACTGCTTTGCCTCCGGAAGCTGTGGATTCTCCCACGCTGGAAGTTTTTAAGAAGAGCCTGGACAGACATTTTTCTGAAATGGTGTCAGGTTTCCTGCCTAAGCAGGGGGTTGGACTAGAAGACCTTCAAGGTCCCTTCCAACTCTGTTATTCTATTTCTATTCTTATTCCTACATTCTATTCTATTCCTATCCTTTCTTATTCTATTCATTCTTATTCTATTTCAATTCCATTCCATATTCTATTCTATTCTATTTTCCATTATTCTGTTCTGTTCTGTTTTGTTCTGTTCTGTTCTATTCCTATTATTCCTATTCCTGTTCCTATTCTATTCTTCATTCCATTATTCTGTTCTATTCCATTATTCTATAGAGTGTTATTTGATTCTCGGTATTCTATTTTGTCTATTCTATTCTATTCTATTCTATTCTATTCTATTCTATTCTATTCTATTCTATTCTATTCTATTCTTCTATTATTTTTTGATTCTCTGCATTCTGTATTGTTCTAGTCTACTCTGTTATTTTATTCGATTTTCTATTCAATTTTATTTTTATATTTTTTTACTAATATTTTAATTAAAGATATTTCATCATTTTATATCACTTTTGCAATCTTTGCAGCACTCCAGCATCAGTAAAACTCATATATACGTATCAATTACATTCCTTTTTCTTCCTGTAACTATATACATTGCCATTAAGTTTAAGGTACCTCTTAAGTTACCTTCATATTTAATCTTTACTTCTATTTTCTAACCATTTATACCATGTGTCCCAGACACAAATAATATTCCGTTTCTCCTCTTTCTTCTAATTCTAATGTTAGCCTGTCTATCTCTGCACAATTCTATTCTATTCTATTCTATTCTATTCTATTCTATTCTATTCTAT